TCCTTAAGCATAGTTTGGAGGGAGAGATGCTATGTAAGAACACTAAAAGGATTATCTTGCTCCTCTACCTCGTGACCTGTTCTTCAACGTTGTTCTTGGGAAGGGGAAAGTGATGAAAGTCATCAATGCATCCTTCTTGGTCATCCTCATCATGGGAGCTCCCTGCGTTGAGTTCCTCTTGCTCCATTCAGTTGTCATTGATCGCCCCTTCAACCTCCTCTTCTTATTTTCACGGTGAGAGGTGGTGGCGTGCACAAGTTCGTGCAACCTTCTCTTCTAGTGTAAAAATTGGAGGAGGGTGGGGTTGGAAATATGTGTTGGAGCATGGTCTTAAAAGTTCTCCCTAGAAAGCTCCAATTTGGATTTCTCTTTGGGTTGTGGGAGATCCAAGTTTGAGCATCCTTCGTCAGTGCCTTGAGAAAACTGCTCCACCATGAGCTCCAATTAGCTCTTTGGCTCCAGTTGTAGAGTGGCACATGGTCTTGAGGAATGTCCCATGAAAGCCTCCATTTCCAACTCCAAGTTGGATTTGTCCTCGGTTTGTGGAGGAAGTTTGCTTGGTATGGAGAAGCTCTTTGATATCCCCATGAGTATGTTCGTTCTTCTTGGAAGGGAGGTTGATCATCGAACCCCGTTTCCTGGCCTTCACTCTCTTGATTACTCCATGAAGTTGTTGGGTACCCTCCATTCAGGTGGTTGTGGATATCCCCACATATTGCAGAAGCCAATGAGATCCTTGATTCAACCTACAAACACAAAAAGTACAAAAAAAAAAAAAATCAAACAAACACAAACCACTCTTCAAGACGAAGAGTGGGTCAACAAACACAAAACAAACAACAAAACGGCTAAAGTAACGACCTAAGCCTTTTCCAATAACCTAGGATGTTCCCCTGCAACGGTACCAAAAACTTGACTCGACTTTAACCTACGACCGGGTGTAGCATAGGGTTAGGATGTAAGAAAATTATCGAACCACGGGCCTCTAGTACCTTACTTCGACTTAAGGTTTCATTATCTAGCCAACCTAGAATAGTGATTAGGAAAACTAACCCAAGTAACCTAACTAACCACTATCCTTGCTAATTACAAGTTGTGTAGCTCTCTTAGCTTCAATCCCATAGTTCCATCATTCGGACCGACATTGCATACCATCCTATCTCGATCGACTTAATTTCTCTACCAATAGAAGATAGACTCCCTCGCAGGAGCGGAGCCAAGGGGTTTGGGTGTCTCCCATGACACCCTAAATTTTGGGGAAAATGATTATCCAATCTCGGTAGTACTTTACGTATGGGTAGGAAAAAATATATAAGTGGTAGATTATGTGACTTAAGCATAGAACACTACTCTTATTGGTAAACATGTTTCCATTAGACTACAATTCATTTGTTGTTGTATTTTTAATACAAGTCTCATAGTAAAAATGCTATTTTTCCCATTTTTTCAAAATCTAACATTGATGATTGAACCCAATTTTAGGCTTCCCTTATTCCCTTCATTCTATCATATTATTGGTTTACTTGCTTCTGAAAGTTATTGATTTTAACAAGTGCAACTGCAAGTTTTGAAATAACATTTTCAGCTTTGGGATACTTTAAGAACAAGTTTCAGAATCGAATAAGCGATCAATTCTTGAATAATTGTATAGTAAGATAGAGAGATTTGTTGAGTTGTGCAGACACTGAGTGTATTTTACAACTTTTTCTAAAAATGAAAACAAGTCATGGACTTTTGTTATAACTTGTACTAGTTCGATATTTTCTTATTTAAGAATTTTTAAATTATTAAATTATTAATTTAATTTTTGAAATAGTACACCCCTAGATAAAATTTCTGGCTTCGTCACTGCTCCAACGGGTATTGACTTGGAACGGCGTAACGACGAATTGTTAGTGTTCTATTCAACCTAGGGAAAACATATGACGTCAAGCGATCGATCTAATCGATTCCCTCGGCGATTAATCCGGAACAACATATGATATAAATGACCATAATTTCCAAGAATGGTCCAAAAGGGGATTTTCTCCCTCCTAGGTAAAAAACCCAATTTACATGAAATGGAATCAACACTCATGCAATTCATGATAAACATCCATCAACTAAATAAAATGAGCAATCAAACATAGGATTCATCACATACATCAACATCAAACCAAAATCTAGAACTAGGGTTCATCAACCCAAGAGAAGGAAAGTTAATTCATAGAGAAGAGGAGAGAGAATACATTATATGCTTAGAATATTCAATCTTCATCTTCTTGGGGGTGTTCTTCAAACTTCAATGGTGATTTGATCCTCCAAAATAGCTCCCACAACCATCGTAGGTCACGCTCTCTCCCTTTCTAGAATAGCCCATTCGGTGTTTTGGGGTAAAAAACCAGCTCCCCCTCTCCAAAACCCGTTGTTGTCTATTTATATTTGTAGCAGGCCAAGTGTCATGTTTTGGGCTATCTTCATGGTTTGGGTGTTATTTTCACTCCCTCCAAGCCGTGAAGTTTTACAATGACCACGAGATGAGCATAAACTACTCGAAAGTGGCCATGTTCATGGCTTGGGGGAGATTTTCACTCCCACAAGGCATGATATCTGCCTCTTGCCTGTTAAAATTGCCCAAGCTCCACCTTTTGGCTTGTTTTGACCTCCGAATGGCCTGAAACTCATTCTCGACCTTCCCGCACATACTAGGACCTGAAATGTGACAAAAGAAGCACATCTTAGCATAAAATTGGTCGAGAGGCGTCAATTACCAAGTTAAACAATCAAGATATAAGGAGGTAAAAGATGTGTAATTATGTCCGGATCACGACCAAGGGGATCGGGGGAGCTCATAACCATGATCTCCAGCTGAATCCCACGAACTTGGTGAACTCTGCCGTTGCCCAAAGTTTGGGCCACATGAAATTTTTCACATGGCAGCAAACTTATTCTCACGGTCTAGCTTGTCGTGCCTATGACTCTGAATGTAAGTTCTTTTGGTCTTCATGTTGGTTTCTCTTGGAGATCACTGTCATGGTTAGAGTTTACGACCGTGAACAGTGGCATTAAACTGGGTCACGTTCGTAGCATGAGTTTGAGTCTTTTTTTCCATTGTCTTTTGATCCTCTAAATGACCTCTGATTGGCAGGAAACTTGGGACACTCATTTCTTATCATGCTAGGATGTGAAATTAAGAAAGAAAACACAACCTAACCTAGAATAGGATGAAAGTGAACAAGTTTCAAGCTAAATGGCCATATGATAAAAGTCATGCTAAATTTTAGGCTATGATGCTTTCAAGAAAATACAGCACTAAATCAATCTCAAATAGCCAAAGGTGATATGAAAGAAAATGTTAGATAACTATAATTTAGGTGTTATGAGTCCCTATGAGGAACTAGTTCATTAGTTGTATACGTTGTCAAATTCTATAGTTTTGAAGACTTTGTAACCTTTTATTCTTGGCGGTAAAATACCTCGGGTGCCATTTAAGTTTTGGAATTGGGGTAGACATACCACTTAAGTTTGAATAGGGCGTTGGGTACCATTAATGTCGCGAAAATGTGCATCCGTCTGCTTTTCCATCCAACCCAAACTTTTAATTACTTTTGATACCCAAAACTTTTAAAAACATCCAAAACTATATTTCAACAAGTTTTATCTAATATAATAATTAAAAACCTTCTAAACATATTATTACTAGAATGACTAATCAAATTTTCAAAAAAATAGATAAATATACTAGAATATTATAATAAATATATTAAAATAATATTAGAATATCTATTTAACCCCCTAATTCAGTTAAAAGCACCATTAGAAACAGTTAAAATAGAACCTAATCGATCATTAATACATCAAAATAAAAAAAAGGATAAATGGAATAAAATAAAAACATTGTTTAGTACAACATTCATGGAATAATTCAATTATTAGAACATATAATGATTATTGAAAATAATTATAATGATAATTGATTCTAAATTTTCAAAAATTGGTTTGGTATGTAGTATTCAAAAGAGGATCCAAACTAAATAATAGAAAATGATGTTTTTATTAAGTCCAAATGATTTTTTTACAATAAGAAAAGTAGAAGGACCAATTCTGAAATTTAGAAAACATAATATTCCAAGAATATTCTGTCAACTTTAACGGAATGTACGTAGCTGTAAATTTAAGTGGTACTAGGTGCACATATAATAGAGTTCAGTGGTACCCGACGCCCTATTCAAATTTAAGTGGTATGTCTACCCCAATTCTCAAACTTAAGTGACACCCGAGGTATTTTACCCTATTCTTGGTACTATAGTAATATATGATTTTTTAATATCTTCTATGGTTGATTTATTGTCAATGGATTTTGTGCTTACTCGAAGCTACAGATGCTACACAAACTGACTTTGTGTCTGATGTGGCTGGACACTGACGTCCTTCACAATCGATCATCAAGTGATTGAACTCTGTGACACCTCAAGGGAGAATCTGTAGGGTCCTTGTAACCTACTAGATTTGGTAAATGTCATGATGCAAGGTAGGAATAAATCTCGCAAGAATCAAATAACTCATATGTTGTCAATATCAAATGAAGCAAGTCTAAAGGAACTCAGGGGTAGCCTATGCAACGCGTCAACGCCTTCCTCTCTTGTTTTCTCATTCAAATAGTTTTTTGTTCTATTCAATATTTTTTATTATTTCCATTTGTGTTCATTTTTGTGTCTGTTCGCCATTATTTTTTCGTACTTTTTTGTAGTATATAAGTCAGTATCATTTTCCAACACAAAAGAAACAGAATTGGCGGCCAGTGCACCGATGGAGCTTCTAATAAAAAGCACCTCATAACTCTTTCTCTTAACCCTCTCATAAACGAGTGTTCATAAGTGGAAAGCAACAAGCTCTCTTATGAACCTAAGACTCCAAGCCAATCAATTAACGAACAACAAGCTTCTACTCAACTAAGGTGCTTCTTTGTTGAATGGTATGTTATTCTAGGACTATTTACTATTTGCTATCTTGTGTAATTCTAGTATTCTTCCGATACGGTAGCATATTATTGTTCGTACAAAAAAATCTATTCCAAAATCTATTTTACAAAGTTAAACCACAATCGTATCACCAAAACCCTTATTACAAACTTGTTTGATATAACCTCCGATAAACTCACATACGACATAGATAGTAACATTGTCAACGCTCGAAAAGCAATTAATGGAGATCCATTGCCTGATAATACAACTCGTCCCTTCCTTTCGGAACCTTCCGGTAAATGCTTCCACAAGTTCCAGTACTGTGGAACATCAGAGTTTAACAAGCAGATTCCAAAAGCACTCTGAAAGGTCAGAGTCAAGCTCGCTACAAACAAAATTAACAAAGTAGTGCTAGTTTGAGATGTTAGCTGATAAGATTTCGCTTTTCTGCACTCCTCCTTTCAGTATTGTTCATCCTCGCTAGGTCTCCTCTTCTTCGGTGTCATCCGCAGTGAGAAGATGGTTAAGTGCTACTCGCGGGCGTTTTGTCACAGGATGCACTGCAGCTTCCCCTTTATCTCCCTCGGGTTCAACTTTCCTCTTAACCCCTTCTTCTTGCCCCTCCTCATCTTGCTCACTGGCAGCAGCAGCAGCAGCTTCGGGATTGGATTCGTCTGGTTTATCCTTTTCAGCCAATGGCTCGGAATCTGACTGGCCACCAGCCTTCATTTTAGGATTTGTGTTCTCTGTCTTTGAGGAACGTTCGGATTCTTCGAGGAACAAGCGTATATCCTCTTTTTCCGCAATATCTAGAGGGGTCCTTCCAGCCTTCGTCTTCACGTTAAGGTCTGCACCTTTTTTAATCAAATACTTGACTAGCTCCAGGTGTGAACCTTGGACAGCGTAGTGGAGTGGAGTAAGTCCCTTTCTCGTGAATGCTTTGATGGAAGCTCCTGATTGAACCAAACTGCGGACAGCCTCTAAATGACCCTTTTGGGCCGCAAAGTGAATTGCTCCCATGTCATCCATGGCAGCAGCACCAACATCAGCCTTATGCTTGCAGAGATAACTTACTACCTGTGCATGCCCTGCCCATGCTGCCAAATGCAAGCTATGATGTGTGAGTCAAGGAAACAGCATTGCAGTCTTTGTTTTAGGAACAAGTTTTATTTCCCTAAGTTACAGCAAGCAAGAAAGAGGACAGCCTTAGGATAACAAGTGATGAATTCTCATGGAAGGAAACGCAGACAAAGAATAAATGATAACTGTTAATACGAAGATAAATTCCTCTATCAAAACTACCGAATGTGATTCCAAGCCAACCCCTTTCATAATAATCCCACCAACCATTCTTCGACCTTTAAAGCAAACAAAGAAAACATTTCCTCTACTAAAGAAAAACCTAACTCACACACGTGAAGGCAGACATTTATCTTCAACGCAATGCATATGAATTTTTCAATGGCAGGACCCAGCAAGCCAAGAAAATAACCTACTATCAAGCAGCTTTATCATAATCCAACAGAAAAGAACAGCCGAACTAACTAGCTTAATAGCAAAGTTTTCCTAAACGCATTCAATTTGAACAGACTATGTATGTAAAGAGGAGAGAATGCCATGGCAACTGGATACAGAGATAGCAAACATCACGGTTCTTTTTTCTCAAGCCGCAACTCGGTAAGAAATTGGGGACTGTGAGCAAAACAGTTTTGACCTGGATCATGATATCCCCCTAAACTTCACCTCTACGACACAAATAATTGACAAGCTTCGCTACGCATACAGCAGTCAGAAAACCTAGGGTTTGGAATTTCTCTACTAAATTGAGCAAGTGCCTGGAATTTAGGCCACAAAGTTCCACAAGAACAAGTATGACGAGAAGCATAAACCAGAAAACTGAGAAAGCGAAATTGGGAGCATCAAGATGCTCAGGCGGGAAGGATACGGGGTTCTAGAGTGCTTATCTCTAGTGTTAACAGCCAGCGGATTTGAGCCGAGGAGTAACTGAAGTGCAGTAAGATCACCGGACCTCGCCGCCGCATGAATGTCTCCTTCCCCGCCACCACCGCGGCGACTGCCTCCACCGCTCATCCTTTTCCTTTTCTTTTGGATCAGTAGCTCAGAGTATTCTTCGAGACTACACAGCTCCGCTGTTCTGCTTCCCTTCTTCCGCTTCAAATTAAATTTGGGCTATCTTTTTCATAATTAAATTTGGGCTCTTAGTTTTGAGTAGGGATGGCAACAAAATCCGAATCCACGGGTACCCACACGACCCAATTCGGTCAACGCGGGTAAAACCAGTGTTGACGGGTTTTGGGCCGGGTTTGGGTTTAAACCCGCTACACTATTCACCGGGTTGGGTTGAGTTTGGTATTAGTTAACCCGCCTCATGAGTACCCGTCCACACATATAATTACTTTCCCAGTATATTTAATATTCTAAATAATATATCTCTTTAAACAACTAATATTATTTATGTTTGTGGAGACATGTATAATTTGTTCTTTCTAATTGTTTAGAATGAAGTTGATATTATGGAGTGGAGAGTGAATAAACTTATTTGACGAGGAAGAAGATTTCAATTAATCTTGTTGTTTATAGATGTTTATCTTTAATTTTGAACAATTTATATTGATCATTTGCGGTTTGCTTGTATGTTCTAGATTGATGTTTTTGTATGAATAATTTGTATGAGAAAATTTATGTTAAACTTTTATTTTGAAAAAAATTTGTTATTGTAAATTTTTTACCACAAAAACCCACGGGTACCCATGAACCCGCGGATACCCAGCGGGTTGGGTTGGGTTTGAGTTTTTCAAACCCAACGGGTTTTACCCCGGGTTTTTTGGCGGATAAACCCATGGGTTTGGGTTTGGGTTTGACAAAACCCGCCCCCGACCCATTGCCATCCCTGGTTTTGAGGAAGGTTAGAAAATTCAGATCACAAATGGTGAGAATTAATAATTTTTTTATTTTTATAGTTTTTTTAATAGGTTGTTATTTTTTTCTAATTTGGACATCAAATTTTTTTAAATAGATTGAACAAGTTCGCTGTGATCCACAAAATGAAATTCATTTTCGATATCTTTCGAAGGAAAAAAATAACACCACTCGTTACCACATTGTATTACCTTCGTTTTTAACTCGAATTTTGAAATTTTTTGCATAGATGGAATGAGTACATCGTGACTTATAGGATCTACAAATTTTTAGAAAAAAAATGCAGGACTAAAATGTATCACCCATATGGTAACTGGTGGTAAACAATAATGAATATGGTAAATGACAGTTCGTGTATTCTTATTATCATGTATTCAATCATTATACGCTTTGATATGTTTAAACCACTATGGTACACTTACATACCACGTGGTATAATCTTTTGTAATACCACGCATTACCATCATGGGATAAACTAGTTATAAATGTTTATTTTTTTATCCAAAATATACCAAAGTGGATATCATTTTGAAAAGCACAATTAATCTGATTTATCTGTCTAAAAAAAATATATTACTACTTAAAATGAAAGAGATATAGCTTGTTAAAATTTATAGGGAAAAAGTTAGAGACTTTCCATAAATGATGATATTGCACTGATATGACTGATTATGCATGGTTATGCACCCTTAAGTTATACAAGAGATCTGCTCCTCATTCTCCCACCGGTAGTGGGAATGGCAATGGGGCACATTTTTCTGGTATCTCAATGCTTATACATATTCGGTGACAAGTCAAATTCAATGTAGTTTATTTTATGTTGGCGCGCGTAGGGGCAAGCAACACATCGTTCTAGCTTTTACATGGTATCAGAGCTGCAACTTTGATGACTCAATGGACATTCCTTTAAAACAACAAGCATCGGAGGGGGGGAATGGGTTCTCTCTCGCTGCTCTGTAGAGCCCTCTGGGTATGTTGATGGCGTATTCTAGTGCTTGCCGGAGGATTTATCGGTTCTTCCATGGAGGATTTCTTTCATGCCTGGCAATCGTCGACCTGGTGGTGATGGGAACAGGACGCCGGAAGGGCGGCTTCCGATTGGATTCCTCTGACCTCTAACGACCTAATGAGAAAAGCCCATCTCGGTCGAATAGATACGAACTGTCGTCAAGTTCTTAGAGAGGATAAAAAATGTAAGTGATCTTGTATGTATCATACCTTGAAGACCTTACTCAGTTGGGTCTGGATATGGTCAACGATGATGCGTATAAGAAATGGAAAATTCAAAAACATGTAGGTTGGTGATTCTTAATCCCGCTATCGGAGGAGATAGAAGGAGGGCCAGTTCAGGAGGTTATCCTGAATGATACATCGCCACTGAGTCCTAATAGGGAGATCGACTTGGGAAAAATTCCACCGGTGACTCAAGTCTCGCCGGAGCCCAAGGCAGTGAAATAGAGACCTGGCAATGGGTTTCCATTTGGTATGGCATGTGCGGGCAGACAACATCTTTAAACAGTTTGCCTTTAAAATCGTTGCATGTGATAATGCTGGAGGCGTGTCCTCCAACATCACATGTTCGGCCGGAGACAGGGGCGCCTGAAACAGAGGAGTCTATTCTAGCCCTCGCAACTACCAAACCGGTTAGTCTCTCTAGTGTGAGTGAATGGCCGGTAGATGCCACGATGTTTTGATCTAGCGACGTAGTCCGGGGTATCCACAAAACGTTAATTTCGTCTCTCTTTCCAAGTGACGAGAGCCGAAATCGCATGAGATATCCCCTTGTTTTTTCGGCAAAAATAGAGGAAACTAATACCCATCGGATATTCTGGAAACAATATTATTTTTTTCGTATCAGAAACAGACTTGGGAGTGACGTGGATCAATTGAAGTGAGTGTCTGCGGGTTATAAATTTCGTTGCTCCCGACCCTATATTCTCACAACACAACTTCCAAGAGAATCGGGCGGGGTGACATTGAATTGGACCGGACACCCAATCCAAAGCTCATATATGAGTTGTCCTTTGATTGTTTCTTCGATCCCTTCCCAGGTTACTATGGTTGATAGGCTTTCCTTGCTGATTAATAATCCTTATGTTCCTCGTCGTTTGATTGCCCCGGCGAATAGCTATGCTTATGTGGTGACTAGTGCATGCGATTTCATCATTACAAAAGCTGCAACTCGTAATCTCAAGAGCCCATGTAAGTACAGGCCTGAGTCTGCTCGAAATATATTATTTCATGGCGATGAAAATCCCTTTGATCTCTAGTGTCTTGGATTTGTGTATAATCTTAGGGAACCGGTGGGCGGATCCGTCGCCAGAGAAGCATACCAGCAAAGGAATCGAAACTCAGGTACAGCTCGTTGGGATGTTGTAATGACATTTGGTTCCATAAGAAAGGGTTCTTCGATCTGTTCCAGGGATTATTTGGAGTTCGCTCTTCCCAATGAAGCCTATAAGAATTGGGTGTTGCAGAGGACTCCTTGGATTATCACGGATAAGATCCTACACTTGCGGAGCTGGACTCTTAACGTCTCTACTCGTAATTATAATGAAATGACGCTCGCTCCTTTCGGTGTTCAGCTATGGGATGTGAATGAAGATTGTTGAACCCCTAAGTTTGGACGGACAATGGTCGAATCGGCCATTGGTAGAGTCCTTGAAGCATGTGTTTATGCCTCCCATGCTAGGAAAACAATTTTCATCAAGGTGAAAGCTATCATCGATTTCACTAAACCCCTACGCTCTCATATCATGGCTCTGAGTGAGGAAACTGGTTCCTTCTGGGTCAGATACCCAGTTTTTGTTTCTACCCAGATTTTGTTTCAAATGTGGTCGTGTGGGACATTGTTTCCAGACATGTGCTTTTGACCCACCACAAGGGAAAGAGCGGTTAGGGCCACATATGTCTACTAAATTTCTTAGGGAGAAGTTTTATGGAAAAGAGGATGACAACAGATCATTCTATGGTGCCTCCAGGTCAGTTTGGATCAATCCGGAGGCTGCTGGAAAGAGGAGTGCAGGGCAAAGTAGTAAGCAGCCGAAGCAGAAAGAGATAGCCGAGATGATACTGCCTATGAAGCATGCAGTTGCCTCGGCTAGGATATCGATGCAAATAGGGGACTCCCTATACAAGGGAAAACACAAGGAGGACAAGAAGAGTGCAGGAAGAAGAGTGCTAGGATATCGATGCAAATAGGGGACTCTCTATTCGTATTAATGAGAATGATATTTCTTCTGTGGTTGTGGTTGTGTATATCAGTTGCAACGATGCTATTCGGGCGACGCATTTGAACCATTTACAAAATCTCTGTGAAGAAATCCAATTACCCTATGTGGTGATAGGTGATTGCAATACCATTTTCGCGGGAGATGAGAAAGATGGTGGGAATCCTTGGAACTCGACCCGCTCCGTTACGCTAAGGGATTTTGTGAATGATCTTGGACTACATGATGTGGGTTTCCAGGGGGATCAATTCACTTGAAACAATAAACAGATGGGGGCGTGTCTGTGTTCAGGAAAGACTTGATCGGGCTTTATGTTCTCAGTCTTGGATGGACCAGTTCCCTGAGTCCTTGGTGAAGCATCACACAGATCAAGGGTCGTACCATAGGGCTCTCCTCCTATTAGATAAGCCTTTCATGCAACAGAGTTGTCCTAGCTCCTTAGTTAGGTTCAAGTTGTAATTTTCTTTGGTTGATTCACTGTTGATTAAACTGCAGAAGATCCGACAGTAGCTTGGAATCTCTTAAGCTGACCAAGCCCTCTCAAACGGATTAACCGACAGACGACTAATCTTCATCAGGATAGAATGCTAAGGTAATTAACACAGAACTCCACTACTGGAAATAGATTCCAGTACAAAACAGTGAATTGCGTGACTCTCGTACAATCAATTCACTCCTATTGATTGAAGAAACTCAAGTAACCTAATCAGATTTTATCTATCAAAGGTTGAAGCAGAAATCAAGAGAAGTTTATCAGGATTCAATTGACTCAATAAACACACTTCAATCGATTAAAACCGATCAGTATATCAATCCAAAAGTCATTACAATTCAAATCCCTAACACATGTAACTAGGGTTCTTCATATCCAAGTGAGAGAAAGATCTACTCCATAGAGAGAGAAAATAAAATAGTAATCACAGGAATCGTACTCATAATGATGTATAAGATAAGCTCTGAGATGATAATCTTCACTCCAAGGCCAAAATCCAAGCTTGATTGATG